ATAAAAAAATAAAAACAAAACATCTTTATTTATTATTTATTAAGAGTTTAAATGACCAGTGTTTAAAAACAAAAAAAAAACCAAATGACATATTTGGATTTATGTACCAAATGTGGACTCTTTGTCATGCAAACTGCTGTGTTTTGTTCTTCTTGTAATTTCTTTAAAGCCTAGCATAGGTTACCATGGTGACGTAAACTGGATCCCAAAGTCAAGCCCAAAGGTACTGTAGCCTGCTAACGTCGTTGGTTAGACAGCTACAGTACCTTCTCCGTACATGACACACAGACATGAGATTGATATCAGTCTCCTTCTATATCTTACAATCTTACGCAAGTGGCTGGCAAAATACAGAAAACAGAAGTTGTGGCTCCCTCTCTTCCCTCATTTGTCCATCTTTGTAATCTTTACTGAGATGGCACCTGAAGCTTCTGCAGATTAGAAACCTTGTTGACTCTCTTCAGGTCAATCAGTCAAGAGATTAATGTTGTTTTGATTAGCCCTTCTGTTGACATCTTATTTCCTTCAGAGGTGTGTGCGTTCTGTCAGTTTGTATATCTTCTTCCTCCTCCTTTCAGTTCAGGCTCATGTTTACCTAACCTTGCTTTTCATATGCACTCTAGCTTGGCTATTGTGTGATCAAAAAAATAAGTTTCTTTTCAATGTAAGAGGGCAATTTCTCAAGATGTGCAAGTGTTGCAAATGAGGACTGGAAGGAGACCGGAGGGAATATGAATAAATACGAGATTCATGTCGCTTTGAGATTTTGCTCTAATATTAAAAGGGCATGGAGATCTTCAGAGCTTCTTGGTTAGAAATAATGAGTTGCCATTGAGGTCTAACCTAGAGAGAGAGGGAGAGCGAGAGAGAGAGAGAGAGAGGGGGGGTTTTGAAGATGCATTATACCTGCAAATGCACAGTGCTATTAAAATACCCTTGTTTCAGCTGTCATTAAAATACACACTACCCACAGAAGACTCCACTGTGCGCTCAGCCACAGTATATTATTATTCACTACCATATTGCAGTGTGTTAAGCTGTGCTTATGAGGATGCAGAAAGCATAAGTACAGAATGCATAAATGTAAAGTATTCACAGAAGGAATCCCAACACCTGACATGAATGTGGCTGAACAGACTGGTAACATTTCTCACTTTATGTTGCATCTCATTGAGTGATTCAGTGGCTGATTATAATGTATGAGCAGATAAAATGTATTTGCAAACAGAAGAAAATGAATTGGGCCCAGTGTACTGTGTGTTTTTGGCTTCATTCTTCTTTGTAAATGTTTTATCCTGATGAGTTGTGATACAGTTCTGGTCTGATGCCAAGATGGCCAACATAATCCATTATTCACTGAGCTGGAACATTGCTCTAAGTGCGCTTAGTACATCCCTTAAAGCATGATAGTATGTCAAAAAAATAAGGTTGGGGTTATTCTGTATTTCTCTTATTGCCACCCTTCCCACAAAAAGACCAATCAATAATCTGTCTCTCAATACTTTTCGACATGTACGAGCAAATCTTTAACACCGAATCCTTAAACTGAACTTAGTATTCTGATTCCTCGACAGCGACTCGTCTTGTCTTTAAGTTTTATTCGGTATAAAAAGTCTACTGAAAAAGTGTACTGATAATTATCTGTACATCAATGAGTACATTGCAAACAGCAACTGCTAATAGCTAATTTGATATACTTTTACACTAAGCTCCATCTCCTGACTATTGGTTTGCTTTCCTATTGCTTTAATTTTTTTAAATGCGTAAATTCCTTAAACAGTTGGGTACTGTAGTGTTTATCAAATGTAATTTGAACAGGCAGAAAAACTTTGTTGGTTGGGGATTTTTTTAACCGCGGACTGATACACATGCAGTCCTCTAGTGAGTATTTACAGCAGTTAGACTTTGACTATACAGACAATACTCGAAAATTCATTGTTGGTTTTGGTGGTTTCATGTTGAGAGAAAATAAAATGTCACCACAAAGTGATCTTGCAACTATAGAACATCTACCAAATGGATGTCAGTGTCAGTTTCCAATCGCAAAAATTAACCCCTAAACTTAAAAATAAAAATATAAAACATCAATTAAGTATTTTCATGATGTTGAAGTGCTCTCTTATCGGTCACATGATAAAGAACTGTAGCATTGTGGCTAACGCTGTTTTAGAAGAAGTGAGTGAACAGGAGGAGGTTTTCTGTCTTGCAGGACATGATGGCTGATAACGTGACTTTTGATTGCCATACTGTCAGTTGGCTTGTGATGGTCCCATTAAATTGTGTACATATATTTCATGGATTATATTTGCTGGAACAGGAGTTACAACATACTTTGTGACAGTATTGTGAGAAGTTTGGATAATGACAGGAAGATATGTGAAGGGGAATTTGGAGCAGTCTGTCTGGATTATCCTGATGCAGAAAAGCCTCACCTTTTGGCTCCCACGCAGGTGAAAACAAATATTTACCAATGATATATATCATTTGAGTTTTGTTCAAAGCATATTTCCCTTTAAGTGAAGTTGGATGTTTTCACTGGAATTGGAGACACACTATTTATGATCTCTGTCACAACAATGAGCTGCTTTGGCTCGTCATTATTTCCCATTGGTATAACAGAACCTCCTGCTGGGTTTATGTCCTCTCTTCTGAAGATTGAAGGGAAAGGAAAGGAAAGGAAAGGAAAGGAAAGACAGTACATAAAAGATTCCTTAATTCCAGTTGGAAATAATGAAGTGCTTCCCGGCTGCTGTTGTCATCTCATAAATAAAACACTCTGTATTGTCCATAATGACTATTTTGTGTTCTGCTATGTACTAACACCATCACTCATGTAGGAAATGATTTTCACATTCTCAGGAGACTGCTTACAACCTGTGTCGTTTTTTTGCTTTGTGATTTAAACCTGCGTGATGTTACCTACACCATTACTCAACTGCAGTGTACCAGAACTCAACCCATAATACATTCTACTGTATACAGAACTTCATTTGCACAGTCTTCCAGTCACATCTATGTAGCTCTGGGCATGAATATTTAGTTCTACAATAGACTTCAGCAACATACTCAGTATCACAGGCGCAGAAGCATGTTGAAGGGTTTCTCTGCAGGTCTCGGAACTCTTAAGATAAAGTCCGGTAAGTTCTGAGTATTGGAAGGTTGTTCCAAGGTTTGCTTATTGACGTACAATATGAGGTTTCATGAATGGATTATATTGATTTCCCTCTAATGATATTTTCATTAACCAGAGGAACCTGAAATATTCTTGAAGAGTTAATTGTATAGAAACAAAATAATTGTAAATTGTATAGTGAATAGGGGGATACATCTACAAATGTACATGATAAGCCTTTGGGTGTACTTGTATGTGTTATAGGTAATGATATGTAGTATGTTATATACATACATACACATGTACAGTATATGTATACATGTATGTATGTATATATATACATATGATACAGTGTGTGTACATTTGTGCATATAGCACAATTATTAAAGCTGCAGTAGGTCATTTTTATACAAATATTTTTTGTCATATTTGCTGCAACTTTAACTATATCCTGACAGTAGTACATGAGACAGATAATCTCTAAAACAGGTTCCTCTGGCTCCTGGAACCGGATTTTTCATAGATTATCTCTCTTGTGTAGGGTGTACTTTCAGGGCGCAGTGAAAATTTCAGCAAATTTAACAAAAAGTTATTTTTATAAAAGTTACCTACTGCAGCTTTAACCCAGAAATTGCACACAAAAGCTTTAATCTTATTTTAGTGTCAATTAAATCAATCTGCCATGTTCAGTGTCATTTTAAGGTATAAATAATGTTGGTTTTAGGAAGAGTACCGAAGACATACAAGATATGTCCAGATTTCATTATAGGAACATCCAGCAAAATAGAACCAAATAGTTCAAACCGAGACAAGAGTTAACTCCCTTTGTTGGCACTCCTTTAACCCAAAACCCTTTTGTGCTAATTCTCTCTTCTGTTGTTACCATTATCTCTACATTAACCTCCCTCACCTGCTGAACTGAACTGGAGTCCTGGAGATGGAGTAGTGATCGCAGCAAACCTTAATTAGTACCTTAACATAGACAGACCTGTTCACAGAACTAACCGGTCTAAAATGTGAATAGATATTTATGAGATGATGTGTGTATACAAGTGTACTACAGTATATTTGACGTCTGCTCACAGTATCATTATACACTCAATTTTGGATTAATGCCGTTGTTTTGTGTGGAAACTGTGGAAAGTTTACCGACAAATTTGTTGGATGTAAAACTGATCAAAGTGTTTCAGTGCTCCAGCTAATTCAATCTTTTCTTGCATAAATTCCAAAGACCATTCACATTGGAATATGTGGTCCATGTGCATTTTGTATTTGAATACTATAAAAGAACCAAATAAATCCTGTACTTGATGTACCTGATGAACCAAATTATTAACGTGAAGGCCAGCTTTCTACACTGTTCTGTTGCATGTATGGTCAGCACACCATTTACTTTAATTGTGACAGGTTCTTGGATGCTTGGACGAATTCAGTTTATTTTTGTCTTGTTCCAGTTCCCTGGTCTTGCATGTTAACGAAAGTGATTATCTGTTCATCCACCCCGTGTTTTGGGTTCTATCTTGGACCATTCTACACCTTTTTACCAAGTTTAATGAAAATCAGGACAGTATTTTTTCCGTAACCCTGCTGGCAGACAAACAAATGGTGCCTCCTTGGCAGAGGATATAAAGTACAAGTGGTCAACAGTGTGCAGGATTTTTTTGGGATCTTTCATGGTCAGAGTTCATCGTATGACACAGCTGTCCGCAAGACTTACTAGAGTGCAAGAATTTAGTATTGAGCGTTTGAATATTAAAAATTTCATTGAATATACAAGAAATTGAATATTTGATGTGATATGTTCTAGCTGACGGTTATCAGCAGGCTGCTGACATCAGGAAGATACCGACCGCGTCCTCATGGCTACCACCTCTGATCTTTATTGCAGGAGGTGATGTCAGTGGAGGAGGAGTCCACTTCCTGTTACTGCCTGATGGACTCGACGAGCTGCCACCTGCTGCTGGACCAGCCGGGCTCGTACGCCCTGGTGGGCGAGCCCCTGACGCAGGCTGCCGTCAAGAGGCTGAAGCTGGCTGTGTTTGGGAGCATGGAGGTCGGCTCCATGAGCTACAGCCTGCGGGTGTACTGTGTGGACGACACGCCACACGCCTTTCAGGTAGGGGGAGGACTCTGGTTAGGTCTTTGGCTCATTGTTCTTTATTGTTGATCCAACAAAGGTCATTGTCACAATAGAGGATGTGGCCTGGGGAGTAATTGATTACATGTATCTGAGTTAAGTAATCAGGATACAAAAAAAGGTAACTGGAATCCATTACACTTACAGAAAAATGGACATAATCAGATTCCATACAGTTAGTAAAAATGTGGATTATTTAGCAGGATTACAATTTTACATCATACATCAGTTTTTCCTTAAAAATACGCTGAGCAGAGAACACATTGTTGATGCTAAAAATCTTGGTTTCCATTTTCTTTTCTAATATTACATTGTTCTGTTGTCACATACACATACATCAATACTTGCATATTTTGTGTTGAGGTAATCGAAAAGTAACTGAAACTAATCAAGTTACGTTATTTTATTAGTGAAACTTGAATTTAACAGGTAGTGAGTAAGGAATCCACACAAGGAATTTTTAATTATAAAACATCTAAATACTGATGCCTCTATATGACCTACATAAACAAGATCAGATCAGCGAGAAGGCTGACTCTTCGGTATAGTCATTCTTAATGCCGGATTCGGTCGGATTCCCCTTGATATAAATAAAACGAGATGGCCGGAATCGACAAAGAATTCAAGTTCCTTGTTGCTGCTGTATGTAGCAAATATGTCCTCTAACCCAGTCTGACTTTATACACGAATCCGGCAATCTGGTTTGTGTGCCATCTAGTGGCACCGCCATTACTGCGATGGCAAGACGTAGTGACTGTGTGATCTTTATTCAAAACTTACATACAGACATTTGTTTACGATAATAGAGAAAAAAAGGACCAACATTATCAATCAAGAGTTGCATTTAATCATCACAGATCAGTTATATTAGTAAAAATGTAAAGTAAATACAAATTAATATCTTGCATTCAAACACACATATTGGCGACTTGTTTACTGCTAGTACTTTCCTGGATTCTTGTATAAACTAATTATTTATAGGGAAAAGGCTTATTTAAAGATGGACTGGTGTATTTGTAACGTGTGCCAATGTACATTCCCCAATGCTTCCACTTCACATGTTCAAGAATGCAATAACGGTTATACTATTTACCTCTTTTGCCAGTACTTGAGTTATTTGCCTCTTTAGTTGTACTTAATGGCATGACATCAGCACCATTTAATTATTATGAATATTTATCATATATGAACACATGTATAGCATTTAGCAGCATTAAGCAGCTAGAGAGCCAGATATTTCCTCCAGGAGCTGGTGGAGGGTGAAAACGAAACCTAAAAGGAGACCGAGTATTGGACTGACATTAGGTTGCCAGAAACACAACTCCAAATGAATGTTCCAGTGTCCTTGTTAGTCTGCATAATCCACAGAGCACACTGTCCATTTCTTAGTCCTAGGGAAACTGTTAATGAGGTTTGGGGATTAACCAGAGTAAATGGGACGTTATTTCTTGGAAGACGCTTTGCTTTTGAATGTCATTTTTCAAAGCTGTGAGCTCCACAAATTGAAAGTTCAGTAGGAAACATTTAGGAGGGAGAGAACCGGAATATAATATTCATAGGATTTTATTTGTGTATAATCACCTGAAAATAAGACTCATTGTGTTTTTGTTGCCTTAGCATGAGCTATTGTTATCTACAGAGGAAGCGGGTCCTCTTTTACGGAGTCTACCATGTTGAACCGCCATGTTTCTACAGTGGACCAGAACTAACAGACCAAACACTGTCTGTAGATAGGACTTTTCACAAGTTTCATAGCCACCGTATTTGGCTTTTGGCTGAGCTGTATTCAAATGGTTGTAATCTGCAATTTCGCCACTAGATACCACTAAATCCTACACAGGGGTCTTTAAGAGGTCACAAAAACATATCACGTACCTCTTATGATATCTAGCTATGCAGATAGTTTTAATTTTCTCATATTTCTTACTTATTTCTTACTCACTGCTTGCATTACAAGTGTGTAGGAGAAACTATGGGGGCCACAAAAAACACCAAAGGCCTTATTTAGCACTAGTGTGTGGTTGGTTTGTCCATTCTGGGAAACTATAGAAGAGAACGCATTCCCTCTGTAGATAAATATGACTCATTCTAAGGTAACGAATAAACAATCATTTTTTTCTTAGGTGAAAACATAGTTAGAAATAGATCCTCCTAAATGTTACACACTGGATCTTTAAATGAACAGGTCATCAAAGTAAGACTGATACAATTGGGGTGATTTTTATCTTCAATTAAACTGCTGTTGGTTAATGAGTGGCTTTAATGTCACTATTGTATGGTTCTGTTTTGTTTTGAGAGAGCGAGATACAATAGGAGCATTTTTTACTCATTTCCCCAAAGTCCAGAATTCAAACCAGCATATTCAGCAGTCTTTCTGCAACTGTGAATCACAACATTGGCTGTCTCTGTCCTCTTTCACAAAAACGTGAGGATGCACATTTTCACTTTAGCAATTCCTACTCTATTAGGAAGTACATATTGTAGGTCATGGCCTAGATTCAAACTGAACATCTTGTGTGTCTGTGGTTTTTGCCTGGGCTGTCTGAGGCAGCAGGGACCTCAGCATGTGCTGTCTACCAGTGAAACCATGTGAGTGATTGCAGATTCATTACCACTGTGAAACAATACTGCAGAGCCGATAGTGGGGACTCTGTAACCGCCTGACAGGTTCTCTTCCAGAGGTTTTAATGGACTGAGACAAAGGCTGCCGTACTGTAATCACTGCCATTCACATGTTAACCAATCATTCTTTTTTTTTTATCTTGTTTGATTTGATTATCCTTCAGCGACCTATAGGGTTTTTAAGCATTGAGATCTCATCAGTGAACATCAGGGAAATCAAGCTTCCCATCTTCCCTGGAGAGACTAGAAGAAGAACAGAAGAGCTGAACAGAGCACCGCGAGCCTCGTGACTGACTCTGCCTCCTGACTGCCTTTCTGTCATGTCGCAGCCGTCAGCGGCAGCTGGCTTTAAAATGTATTCTGGATTTGGTTTATGAATTCCCAGCCTGCCGAGCAGATGCCAGACTTTTGCGCGTCCCTTGGGCTCCTGTCTGTTAGCACCATGTCTCTGCTGTGTGTTTTCCAAGCTCCGGCACAATCATATACTGGATTCTGGATCAACAGGAAGCCTGATGCAACACAAACACAGTTTCTTCAGCTGAGGCCGAGAGAGGGTTATGATTGGCATTTTTCTGATATTTTCTGTGATATTGCACAATGCTGCTGTCTCCTTTGAAAGAGTACCTCTTCAGCAAGTCAAACTTTCTGAACACAAACTGATGCACTTAAAGATCCCATCATCACTTCATCTCATTCTAAAATTTGCAGCAGAGGTGTGAACTCAAATCACAAATTTTATGACTTTAGACTGGACAAAATCAAAAAAGACTTGCAACTTGACATGGACTTGGACACTACTGATTCACGACTTCACTTGGACTTGATCCCTTTGACTTAAAAAAATACTTGATACCTTCCCGCAAGCCCAAAGATTAAAAAGTATAAAATGTGCAAAGAATCAGTTCAATACCTGAATCAACGTTATGTCGACACTAACAGCATCCAATCGCATGCAGGAGAGAACCATGAAGAACAAAAGTTTTGTTAGTGCTGTAAACCTGCCCAATATCACTGTAATATACATTTTAAACTGCTTTTGAGCAGCTTATGCTAAGAAATAATATCCTCATTGTGATCAACCTGTAACACAGTCATCAAAATACCATTACCATTAAAATGAAGGTAGTTATTTACAAAAACAGAAAGTGTGGGACATTCACTGAGAAATATTGGTGACTCTATTCAAGAGAGAAGTTAAGGTCTGCCCAGAAAGTTGTTAGATTTGTTTCAAGGTGTCTTTTGAAAAAAAGTCCCTAAAGGGGTCTTAAAAGTTATAAATCTAGAGAGAAAGTCGCTAAGGTGGCAACACTGGCTCCAACCTGCAGCTTCCTAACTTTGTGTATGCAGAACTTTTCCTCTCAGAGCCCTGGACTCCCAAAATAACTCCAACAACTTTGCAATTCCTTTGTCTGGATTTCTCATTCTTGGTTGACATTGCAACACTCCCTTAGCTGTAAAACATGATCTAAGACACATCAGTTGTGCGTGATGTGTCCAACAGCAGATCAGCAGCAGTCACAGTCTACACAAAACTTCAATCATAGCATTCTTGACAGCTTCAGATCAGTTCAAACAGGGGAACCATATCAAAGACCCAAGCTAGCTACATGCTATAAGGGAAAGAAATCGAGTGTCCAGCAACTCGCTATCTAACAGTTTGCCTCTTCTATCCGCATTTTGCCAATTTTGCTCTCACGCCTACAGCAATGACAACATGCTAACTTTTATTGAAAAATGCATAAACACACTCAACCATACACACACGCATATCCGTCATGCACACACAGACTTAGTCAGAATCAATCAGTGTGGCCTGGCATTAGTCACAGCTCTGTTCCCTGTCTTTTCCCTTTGTGATTGAGATGGCTAAGGACAGACAGACCAGACACGGAACCATCCCACCGGGACACTGAACAATGATGACAGATGAATACCTGCGAGCGACAATCAAAGCGCTCTTTCATCATCACAAATTCAATTTGGGAGATGGACGTTTGCCCCACTGACGCACGCTTTTCCCCAGCATTAAATTCAAGCCTCAATCTGTCACGTTGAGGCAGCAAATGTGATGCTAATGTGGGCACGAGTTGTATGATTTGTTCAGCGGAGACTTAACGTCACTTCTTGGCTTCTTTGCTAATATTTGTGATGAGTCAATTAGTGGATGTGACAGAGGAAAGGATTAGCAACAGGTGCTGGTGCCGATATGCAAAAGTAGTGTACCATCAAAGGGAAGGGAAGGATTCTTGTGTTCTTTCTCTCTTGTTTTCTGTTTCCCTCCAAATGATCGTTCTCTCATTATCTCCTTTATCTTTCTAACACCTTTCCTTTCCTTTCCCCTCCAGGGAGTGGTGGCAGCAGAGAAGACCAGAGGGGGTCAGCTCCTCGAGGAGCCAAAGATGTTGCCTTTCCGAGCGAACACCTTCAGCCTCCAGGTGTCCATCCAGGATGTTCCCCAGTTCTTGTGGAGCATCAAACCCTTTACCACATGTCAGGTAACCATGGCAGTGACAAGGTATCAACTGAAAGCAACAGAGATCGGATACTGAAGTGCTAATTTGCAAGATCCTGTTTTTGCTGTTAAGAGCTAATTATTGCTCCTCCCAGGGTTCAGTCTAACAGTGTAAGGAGTGCTGTGATGTGTTTGTGCTTGTTAGTTAATTAGAGATTCTCCAGTTGGCCCTATTTACTCTGTGTACTGTGGGATGTATTTAATGCAGTGTTAATCTGCTATCCATATTATCTTCTAATAAGGCACTCTGTTCGAGGATTTTTTAATTGTAATGTTCATTAATATTTAAAATAAAAAACCTAACTAATGCTTAGTACGAAATACATTGAATTTAATCTTATTAAAGTGGCATGCCATCTCCAGGTCCACCCCCCATGAGATTATCAGACACTTCTCCAAGACACCAGTATTTACAGCACAACAGTGATCATACCAAACCAAAAATATATAATAATTAAAAAACTAATAATAATGATAAACCACTCATTACTCATATAGTTATGCATTAACTGAACAACTTTGTTAATTAGAAGGTCTCAGTTTCAAACAGCCACTGTTGTGAGTCATTCATATCCATCAGCTTGTCTGTATTCTTTATGTCATTAAACCAAAGGTTAGGAACCGATCCCACTTCAATGTTAATGTGAGCTATTTTACAAATAATAATAATTGTTATGGCAGTAGACTGTTAGGAGACAAGAGTTATTATGGTAGGGGCTACATGTGGTAGGGGCTACATTTGAATTAGACTGTATGGATGGATTCAAACGTGACCGTTTTGTCGGGCATCTGTAATATGTTGTTTCAGTTGTTTCTATAAATTCTTTCCACAGCTAGCCGGATGCTAAGTGACACAGCTACAGCCACCTTGGGTTTAGAAAGCAGCCTTTATAGTGTTAGCTGGTGTTTGGTTCTAATTGTTGTCACATAATGCTGCTACATAGAAGACAAGTGAAATGGAGCTTGTGGAAAATAATTTCTCTTCAGCTCATGACATTTATCGACTACCTTTATAAACATGTTTGTGCTTTAAAATTGCTCTTTTAGTGTGAATCCTGCTGTCACCCATATTTCTCTCTTAAGGACTGCTGAGAATGTACGTGACTTGAGATTAATAGCTTTGTGTTTGTTTGGCTTGCAGGAGCATAAAGATGCAAACAGCATTAGATGATCCCACCGCAGCAGTCTGTGAAGGCTGTTTGTGTACCTGCTGTTGCCATTTGCAGAGCAGGCGAGCTGTGTCCCCACTGTACGCTGTTGTTCTGATCTGATCTGAATGCTGGGTGAAAGCTCTGCGTTTCAAAGACACCCACCCTCTCCACGGCCTTATTTATGAGGGCTTGGGGACGACAGGCAGGCACCGCGGACCTGCTTTGGTGGAGCAGGTGTGGAATAATAGCCGAGCGCCGTGCCATACATCAAGTCGGCTTTTAGTGCTAAAGAGCGTCCAAGCTTTCCACGTCCATCACCCCTCCCCCCCGTCCTCCGCCAGTGCTCCCAGACTCTATTATCTGCGGCTGTGAGCTGCACCGGGCAGCTGAGATCAAAGCCGCAAGGGTTAGGTCATCAGTAGGCACACCGGCCGCCGCTTTTAATGCCGCGGTCTTCACTAAGAATCGTTTACAGGTCACTTTTAATATGCAGATACGGCGGAGACGGAGTCTGGCAGAGGTCAAGGACGTTTCCCCACAGATGTGCCCGTTCTCTGGAAATTAATTATACATCAAAGGCAATCTTTTCCCTGTTCCCCTTATTCCGACATAAATTGCTTACAGTACAAATCCCGCAAGCTGCTTCTGTTATCAGACTCACTGTACGAGGGAATCAGGCTATATTTGTAAATGATATCAGGAGTTCAACTTTCTCTCCTCAACAATATGCATAAATATATCAAGCAATGGAATAACTGAGACTTCAAAGCCATCTTTTACCTTTTATCTCTCTGCGTGTGAGTAAGTGGCTGTGCATGTGACAGTGTGGCCACATGTGCTGTGGCACAGGGAGCTGAATCAACTCATTCCAAGCACATGTTAATATCGCTGTGTACTGTGTTATGTTTCTGATGTCCCTCTTTTTTTTTTCTGCTGCCTCCTCAGGAGTTCTCCTTCCCCCAAGTGTGGTGCAGCAACCAGCAGCCCCTGCACTGTGCCTTCTCTCTGGAGAGATACAGCCCTGCCACCGCCCAGCTCTCCTGCAAAATCAGCGTGCGCCAGGTCAAAGGCCACGAGCAGATTCTGCAGGTCTACACGGCTGTGGCCGAGGTGAGGCTCTGCAGCTGCGGGAGGCGCGCGGGGGTGGGGTGTTTCACTTTCAACCTTTGTGTAACCTTCCTGGAGTGTGTCCACCGACAGCAGGACCAGCTCTCCTGAGCTTGCACTGTGTATTAATAGAGCGAGGAGGACACACTTACTTTCTTACCTTCTTCACAGATTTATGCTAAACACAAACATCAGAGATCCAGCTGTTCAACACATTTACTGTACATATTTTTTAACCTTTATTCGTTCAGGGTGAGATGTGTTCCAGCAAATAGCCTGCATCACGTTCACATGCATTAACACCTGGGAGCTGCCCGGTGTAACAACAGTCTGCTGTCAGCCGCTGAGCAGCTCCACTGGAGCAGCTAGGAGCTAGAAATCCTCACTCAAGAGCACCTTGACAGTAGTTGTTAGGGCAGAAGAGAGTGCTACTCATTGATTTTACCCAACTGCTTGTTCGCCATCAGTCACAAACGTGCTCGTCCTACCTCAAGGCCACCAAAACTGTGTAAACACTGGAGAAATATTATTTTCAATAACTTTTTATGGTTTGTTTTAATCCAGATTAGGTAAAGAGGAAGAAGAAATAAAGTGTTTATCTGAGCTGTGGGTTTAGATCATCACCACATTCATTTTGGCACATACAGTAAACAGACATGACCATTTATAGGACAATCTACACCGCGTTTTACATTGTGGGTCACTGGATTTAATTAATATACAGAGCACCCACACAGCAGTTTTAGAGCTGCTTCATGCCAACATGACCAAGTTTTCATCCAAATTTAGCACAAATTTTAACTATTTTTCCAGATAATTGGCAAAAGAATCAAGGTTTGGCTGGGGATGGCCCTGATTCTCCAGTCGGTTGCCATTTAACCACTGCAGATGAAGAGATGACGTAATTAAAAGAGGGCCAATCAAACATCAAACGGTTGAAAACATGATGGAAATGTGACATTTATGTTTGTTTCATGTATTCATTTCAGAAATGTTGAACTGAGGTTTTATCCATACAGCATTATTTCCACCTCAGCCAAGTGTAAGAACCTTCGAGTGTATTTCAAATTTTCTCTTTCAAAACTCAGGTTTTGTTATGCACAAATTGAAAGCAGAAATGCACAAGTAGTTATCCTGTTCAAATCAACTTTGCACTAATTGGAAATTTGTTTGAATTCCAACCCAACCCCCATAACCGATTCTAAACAAGAATAAGTGTTATTCCGTTCTTTCCGTTACCTCTGCTACTTAAATTTTCCATCTATAGCATTGAATCCTAAATTCTTCCTCACATTACTTTGCAGATGGTTTGATCTCATGATTTATCCATTCAGCATGGCTAAAGTAAGCTAGGCTAATAATGCTAAGCTAGGACCCTGTTGCTGCACCCAAACTGGAGTACAAGGACCCTGTTGCTGCACCCAAACTGGAGTACAAGGCCCGCCTGTTGCACTTATACACTGAGAATTATAAACAGATGATTTAAAAAAAAATGTTTTTATGTAGTTTGAATTTGGAATTAAACATCATTTTTGACTCTAGCCTTAACCTTTCAAATAATACAATGGGGCAGAAATAGTCCTCTTTGTCCAAAAGACAATAAACTGTCAGTGCCTCATTTGTGTTAAGCTGAAACTTATAATTCATAATTCTTTTCCATGCTTGTTTCATTTTCAAAAATCAGACGTACACATACAAAGTAAAAGTACACTGCACTGTGCTCTCCATCCTGAGCGTACCGCGTTGTGTTGATCATGTACAGAGGGCCACAGGGTACGACCACATTAGCCTTCCATTCAACAAAACTGTCCAGCACTCAGCCCTGCCAGAGTGTGATGTCGGGGTTGCAGTGGGTAATAAATAAATACTGAGCAGAGCCATCACAGACTGTAAACAGTGTAAGAGAGCCATGCTGTTCGTAGTCTGGCAGCGGGATGTACTAAACAGGTTGATGGCACACAGTAGAACAGTGACTGTACTGCTGTATTTCCATACACAGTTTGGTCAGTGCTCGGTCAACTGAACTGCGAGTCCACCGCAGCCGGCTGGAGATCGAACCGAGACAGGAAATGCATGCTTGAATTTGTCCTTTGTACGAGCTTCAATTTGCAGGACAGTGACCATGCATTAAGAGTTGTGGGTGGCATTTCTTCAGTCACCGTCTGCCAATAAAATAAAAATTCATCACAAGACATCATACATGCTTGAGCTCCTTTGGGGGTTTATGTGCTGGAAGTGCTTGTACTGCCTCAGGCCAGATATGCTGGCCTGTGATATTGGACATAACAGGAAGAGGGCGCTGTTCTTCTATCGCAGAGAGTCAAAGTCACTGCCAAAATAAAGGCATAAAGCAATGTGATTTATGGGAAATACGTTGAACTACTACCAATGAAAGGGTGCTTTAATGCTTGTACTTGCTTTTTTGTGTGAAGTAGAAGTTAGATCTGCTTCTGTGGTTTCTTTAGTATGGTAGTGGAAGTAAATATGTGTATGGGAGGCAAAAAGTGAAAAAAAGAACAGAAATTGAGACCAACAAACGACCTGGAGGCGTGTTACTCGGCTAACCAATGAGTGAGCAGGGTTGACTGGTTTTGTCCAATGGAAGAGGCAATGCCAGCCTAGAGGCTACCAGGGTTCAGTCTGGAAATGGTGTGCACCGTTTTGCTACGGTTTACAGGTTGAATATGTTTCCTGGAAATCATGTGCATCAGGCTTTGAGGTACATTTTCTCTTGTTTGTTGGGTGGGTGTATCAGAGGTTACCCCATCAGCAGCAACATGTATATAAACCCCGCCATATTTTAAAGGCAGTTCAAGCTGTGCAACAGTGTAACAGAACAGGGTGTTCAACGCACTGTTTCTGTTTAAATAAATGATTTACTATGTTTTGTCGGGGCTGATCGTGGCCCATATGTCTTATTTGTTTACAGCAAAATGCTAAACATACCTGTCTGAATTGTCCCCAGGTAACCCCGCCCATCTGGCTCTCCAGGCTGGTTGAAACGGGCACAGAGCGACAATTGCAAATCCTATCTGACCCCGGTCTGATTATTGTCTGTTTCTGTTCTGTTCTTCCAGACTGAAAAGGAGTCGGTTCCATTTTTTATGCAGACAGACTGCACCATCACGTCCCAGACGGGGCCCAAGGCCTTCAAAATCCCCTTGTCCATCCGCCAGAGGATCTGTGCCACCTTCGACACTGCCAACGCCAAGGGCAAGGACTGGCAACTCTTAGCCCAGAAACTCCACTTAGATCGGTGAGCGTGTTTTTGTGCATCCTCTCTGAGACTGCATGATGTGTGTGCACCCTCTTCTCCATAATGGCCTCGCCTTGAGCACGCGCTGACAAGAATGATAACAATCCTGTGAATGTTGTTAATCTCATGAATGTGGCTTTATATGCAGCTTGTCACCAGGTGTCTTTTGTGCTGTATGTTCTCTCTGAGCAGCCGGGGACAGGACTGATTATTTAACTGTACAGCACATTGGTGATTGTGAATGCTGTTGAATGCTGTGGCTTCTAACGTGCACTGTGGTTTTGTGCTCGCCTTATTATACAATTTTCTTTTTTTCTTAAAGTGTTTTATCATATGCATCTCTTCCATTTCTGACAGTCTAACATACGTGTGATTATTTATTTATCACTTGTTTGTCCTGTAATAATAAAATATGCATTCATGATGAGACACTGCTACTGCTAATATTTACTCAATCCAGTTGTTGTCTTTGCTTGGTCTTAGCTTGTGGCAGCTATAATCTCCTGTTAAGTGCATGATTCATGAGACGCTGGTATCTAAGAGTCCTTTGGGATTCCAAATTATCCAGATAAGCTTTCCTCTCCAAGTTGGGCGGCTTTGAACTGAGCCTGATGTGACCAATGGCTGCAGCTTTTTATGTTGCTTGATGTTTCCCCCCCACACACACACACACCTTGTGAAGCACCAAGGAGCGGCAGTGAAACACTGCCCCCAACTGGATTCAACACTGCATGATGCACAAAGGCATTATATTGGCATGGCAACAAGCTCTCTTTTCTTTAATTTTGGCAGCACCTGGGAATGAAATTCAAACCAAAGTGTGCTTGCCAGTAATTACTCATCTTTTGTGATGGTAATTTATTCTTGATTATATTTTTAATAGTCTTAAAAGGTCATGCTTTTTGTTTTACCTACATGTAGAACCAGATGGTTTTGTTTACTGCACCATGACAGTTTGTGCTAAATTAATTTTCAGTAACAGACAGAAATAATAAGTAGATTCTCTAATAGTCACGTGGAGGAGACCCAAGGACCCAGATGGGTTATGTTAATATTAATTTTGGATCTGATGTTTAGAGTGTTTTGGAGCATGTAGATAACCGTTCTTTATACAGTGCTTTCTCTAAGTAGATATAATAATAGAGACAGGTTTTCAGTTTTGCACAGGATGTCTGGAGGTCTCTAATACTAATTATTTTGGGTTTACTTATTACTTTTTATTTAATAATTTGCAGTTGCTGAAATGTTAAATCATTTGATCCTTTAATCAGAATTTGTGGTATTTAAAATTAAATTATACATCTATATCTCTGACAGAGTGGGCAGAGTGATACTTTGTGCAGAAAGTCAGTGAGCTAAGGGAGCCTGGGATACTAGTACCATTTTGCATCATAACAATACAATATCGTGTTTGCTTTTGTGCCGTAGCCACATTCAGTTTCAAATTTTGGCCCTCCAAGGGAAAAGGTTTGGGCACCCCTGCTATAGTGTATCTGTTAGACTGCATGTAATACTGCCATCACCACCATAGCTGGCCAGGCCAAATCAGAGAGCTGGAAAAAATAAATCACTAAATAGACCACTAAATAAAATAATGCAATTGCATAACATACACCCACATTTATTCAACAGATATTTCAGTTATTTTTCATGTTTATAGCTGCAGTAGGTAATTTTTATAAAAAAAAAACATTTTTGTCACATTTTCAGAAACTTCCACTATTAATACTCTGGGAATGAACAATCAACTATCTTCAAGCTTCCAACCCAAAGCATCTTTATTTTTCTTGGCTCTGATTGGTTGTTTTCATTCAGATTCTTGCAAATGCCATTAGGAGCACTAGGAGGAGCCAGAGGAACCAGATTTTTTCACACATTATCTGTCTCATGTACTACTGTCAGGATGTAGTGAAAGTTTTAGCAAATATGACAAAAACTTATTTATAAAAAAGTGACCTACTGCAGCTTTAATGTGGTGCTTGATCCCCCTATTAAAGGATATTTCTGGTGATATTCTATATCTTTTTGCCAACAAATCCAATGAAAAGACCGAAACCAACAATGAACTGACCCTACTAAGAAGTATTGTGTGTGTATAAAAGCCTGATATATCATATATCTCTGTGCCATAGAGCTCCATTGTTGTCCAAAAAAACACATCAGTGAGCCACACTGTGATACAGTCCGTCCTGAACACACAAACTGTAGTTTATTATGACTCCCATGAGTCCCACATACACTGTCCTGCTGCCCCAAATACTCACACTCCAAATGTGTATTAATCCACAGCTGATGAAATAGTGTATTCGTTTTGTCCCCAACAAATACACTATTTCCTCCTGTTTGAGTAACGTTTGCTAGAAACTATAATCCCCAGCTGTAACTGCAACTACAACCCTAACCCTAACCAGTGGACTTGGGGCTGAGTGCCACAGACAGGGCAGGGGAAGGTATTGAGAGATGGACTAACACATTGTTGCCTTTGGTCTTTAAATGGGATTTGTTGTCAAAAATAAACATATAAAATAACTTTAACTATGATCCTTCAAGGTCCATAGAACTGTTGGCCTTGTTTTCTGTGCATCAGAATAATGCTCAACACTCACTGGCAATGAATACCATTTGAATTATTTATAGATTCAGTTTGACTCATATCTTTTACAAGGTAAACATAATCAGCAAGGTTCATATCTGAAGCCTACATGAAACATTTTTCCCAGGGTCCTTTGTCGCTCATTAATCCGGCTCCGTGTGCTCCTCTACAGAAACCTGGGTTATTTTGCGAAGCAGCAGAGTCCGTCTGCGGTCATACTGAGCCTGTGGGAGGCTCGCCACCAGGACACTGCTGACCTTGACTCTCTAGCCAGCGCCCTCGAGGAGATTGGCAAGATCCACTCCAAAAGCTCCCCGAAGGACCAGGATGAGCCGGAGTCTGACTTCAGTCACATACAGGCAGGCAGTCTGTGCGGAACGGGCACACTAACAAATCAGAAGACAGAGGACTCTGCTCCAGAATACACAGGCTGAGCGATAACAAAGAGACAGTGAGGGAAAACTGACGAACTAAGGCATATATCTGTGTACGTGCACAGCCGGTGATGGACGACACACTGTGGCGGTGCGCTGGAAGGTCATCAGGTTGTCTATGAGTGGACGGTGCAAGCAGTCAACATGTCGAGGTGAGCCGGCACCCGCTGTGGATCTACCCCTCTCTTTTAAGAATCTGTCCGAGGATGGACTGTAAATCTTTTCCTGCCTTTCCACTCAATTTCTAAGTTGATCTTTGATTTATTTGCTCCTTATTTTGAGTTAAAACTATCCCCTCTGTACATTCATTTCCCAGCTCAGAGGGTGAGTGGGGGAGAAGGAGGAGGAGGGGGGGAAGGGTATTTCCTAACCTTGTGCGCCCATTGGTTTCTGAGTTTGTGTTGGAGGAGATGGGAGCTCCTCTATTCCTCGGGACCAGCTCCCCTCCTTTTCCCAGTGGTCAGCATGTCAGCTGGATACATTTGCATAGAGCTTCTTTTATGCAAATACACCTGTGGCGTCATTTCAGAAACACCTGATTTAGTTTCTTTCTCCCCCCCCCCCCACCCACACCATATCCCTGTGTCAGCAAGTGAATGAGGACTTAGAAGCTACTTTTTTGACGTCCAATATTATATTTTTAAAAGACAGCTGCTGATTGCTTAAATGTTGTGATTGTGAACTTTCAAAGCCAAGTATCTTGAAATTCACCCATTTTAATCTCTTTTAAAAAAAAAAAAATCTATTGGAAGTTTGGCATTGACAAGACAGCCAGCGTTGTATGATCATTTATATTAACAATCCTTTAAAAATTAGCCCCAGTCTAATCTTGAAGGGCAGCGCGGTCAGAGTACCCATGTGTTATACGGAACAAAACATGGTTGTGGCGTAATGTGGCAGAGTGAGATTTCTAACCGTGGCATTACAGTTCATTACAGTTTCCTCCGCCAAGAGATAGAGAGGGAGGAAGCTGTAAAACATCATTTCCTGGCACCGCAGGGAGCGTATCGCCGCATCTTATCACCCAATTCCCACCATTAACACCCGTCACGTAGACCTCATATCAGGCCCTGACACACCGGACTGCCCCCACCCCCACCCCCCACCCCCCACCCCCTTGACACACATGCAGACGCACACATTGACATTTCATGGCTACGGAGGTCATGTGCACACTGACTGGGAGTTTGCATATTGTACAGCAAACATAGAAGGAATACTGATGCCGGTGTCAGTGTCAGAAATACAACATGCAGTCACGCATCTGCTCAAGTCAACACCAAACACACATCGTTCTGAGAGACAGATAAGAGACAGGATGCTCCGTGCATGTGAGGCTTGAAATCAAGAAAGCAACCAATGAGGGAGAAAGGTTGGCTCACCTAATAGTGCTAGTAGTACTGTATGACCTTCTGAATCATCGTAAAGAAAGATCAACAAAATCTGTCATAGTTTAAGACCACCGTTCACTTTTAAGCTCAACACACTCACAGATTTTGTTATTGCACCCAACTGAACAGGACACTCACTGTCATTGAGGTAAGGATTTAAGTAGCTGAATCCTGATTAAACCCTATACTGTACCAGTTCCAATACACATACAGTAAATACAAACAATACACATTTCAATTCATCCTTTTTAAATGAAATGTATTCAGAAGGCCTTTATGTTGCAGAGAGGTTTAAATTCTATACCTCAAATAACAATTGGTCTCTGCCTTCTCTCTGTCAGAGAGATGCATGTTGGGTAAATAAGGTCACCCAGATTATGCAGGCACATATTTTGTCCCTTGCCCTTGTTCTGAGATATCTGCCTCCACCCCGGTGCGGTGGAGGTGATGGAATGTCGATTGTAGTGCTCATGGTATTGAAAAATGAACAGTGATCTTAGCAGGAAAATGTCACACACTCACACACACACTGTTTTCATACAGACTATTTCATATGAACCACAAATTAAATTTCATTCACCTTGTACTTGGGTTAGTGCCAGTTTTAGTTTCTTTTTATTGTAATCTGGAGGGTATTTGTCAGGGGCATGATTAAAGAAGTTCAGAATAGGTATTACAATACACACACATTGACTCACAGTCATGCAGACGGAAGGAACACTACATTAGCTTCTGACCGGGCTGTACAAGCTAACATTTGGATTGTGGAGGTCACACAAATGTACTATAAGTCTGTGCTGGAATAACTTGAAGCCAAGTGAAGCACTTTTTATGAGAGTATACTTTGGCATTTGGTGTAAGACTTTTTGGTCTTGTAAATCATTATTAAAACAAATAAACAAAAAGAAGCAATTTCTGACTGCCAGCTATGGCACGATTTTAACTATAACTCTCCCTTAACTTAAAAGACAAATGCAGCAATGACTCGTCCAGCTTTTGTGAATCGTCACTGTGAAGGCTTTGGTGGTAGACATCAGTTAACCCTATGGTTTGAGTCTTGTATCTTGGCATTTCAAAATCTCACAGATAAATTCAGGAAATAAGCTTACTTGTCACAGTACCAGGAACCGGTATGTGCAAACATACAGGATGAGTAATGTGGTACCAATGAAAGCGTTGGCTCTCCCTTGCACACTACTTGATTTTGTTGCAGCACCCAGTTGAGTCAGTCTTTGCTTTAATCGACACCTGAGTCTGTTGTGACCACAAATCCCAAATTGTCTCCTCAAATCTCAACTGCATAAAGAGTCAAAAGCAGCAAAAAATAAATTTTGGGATTTTTTTTGGGCCTGCGGTTGGACACTATTACAAAGCCAGACACCATTTCTTCATCTTCAGATTGGTACCTCCAGCCATGACTGACATACATAATTGATTTACATAATTAACCTGAATAAAGATAAAATAAAATCCTTGCTGTTGGCAAAATAAACTCAACCTGCAGTTCTCATTTCTTGTCTGCAAAACCAGTTATTCAACATGTGTATTCTTATTTCTATTCTGTTGGCTGTTTTTAAGTTTTGAGAGCTAAATGTATTTTGAATATTTCCCTCAGTGGTTTATCAGGAATGATATGATGTCTTTGAACACATCACTGAGTATTTCTGACCTGATATATGTGAACAGTTTCATCCTGCTATAATAAAGAGCTCTTTTTATTTCTCTGCATCATCTCTATGCATTTCTAATCAAATTACCGTAAAACTTCCAATAAAAGCAGGGTCCCTAATAGATGCAGGTCTCATTTAAAAGCCTGGTGTGGCTACACGTTTTGACAAATAAACGCAGATCTCCAATAGAGGCCTGGTCTGGATTTTATAGAAATTATCTCTATGTATAAAACCTCTCAAAACCCACCAGGTCACCTGCTTGAGCAATTTTATTTCCTACACAGATATAATGTTTAAACTTCTGTCAATATGTATGCACATCATTAGATCAGTTTTAGATTCTCCACAATTCAATCGTTCACTATATTTAAGCGATCAACAACAAAGTATAACGTTAATTCATTCTGACCTACAGGTACCATGGTAAGCAAGAGAGAAGTCTCAAGAGAAGCAGCAGTTAGAGTTTAGTTTAGTGCTAAAGTAATTAAACGCCTGTCCCAAATAGAGGCAGGGGGAGTTCAGTGATTTAAGCAAATAAACACCCGGGCTATTATTAGAAGTTTTACGGTATATTCATTTTTCTATGTCATTTGAGCTGGTAAGTGAAGAAAGTGAAAGGTAATCTTTTTTTTTTGTTGATTGTTTCCTTAATTGTGACTAACTGGATTCTCCTTTTCATTCCTGCAAGCAAAGAATGTCAAAAATGGAAACGTGTGCTTTCGTAACGCTTAGCGGTGGCTTATGTTGCATCGAGAGCAACCTGTCTGTGCGGTACACCCCATCACCCTCACCGTTCACCGCCATTCTGGATGTGTTTCAGCTATGTCTACTGTATCTCATCAGCGTGTTGAAATTCTGTTTTTTAAAAGTAAGCTCAGATACACACACACACACACAAACGTATTCTCACTATGTATAATGCTTTGGTGTAAGACTAACCCTGTTTCATGAGATTAAAAGTTCCCTGTTGAGTCCATGATTTTCTGTCACCTGAGTTGATCGGTCTCATGCTCCTTTTTGCTTCACGCATGGCCTTTGGCTTCATATCACTATTCTTGTGCCTTGTTTAACTACTGTAAATGGTGAATGTTGTAAAGTACAGATGGGGATGAAAAAAAAGAACAATTAATCATACTGACATACATTTAAAGGTATTAGTTGAAAAAGTATTTAAGATTATAATATTGAATAGGCTGCGGAGCTTTTCTAGTGCTGAACATCTATGTTTGGTAATGCCAGGGCAGCTTTGTGGTATATTGTATCTATAATTATGGACATTTTGGATGTTTTCTGTACAGTAGAATTTGCAAATGTATATGCAGCCTTTTGGAAATAAATGTACAGTTGAAAGATCTCAGCTTGTCTAAACGCTAGTTATTTTGCATCATGCAGTGAAGCTATCGATACAGTAATGTCCCATCATCTAACTCGCATGGAGCGAATTATGTGAATGTAGGATATGTACAGCGTTGATATGTGGCGTTTAGGCTCTGACCTTGTCACTCCCCACAAGGAAACATCAAGGCCAGTACGGCAGGGATCGGGGAGTGGTGATAACTGCCCCTCTAGCTTGGCATAAACTGGTTCTGCTCGAAAATGCTTTTTTCTTAAGTTTACGTCCCCTAAAATGTCTGACCTTAACCGTACTGACTTGTATCTGTGCAGTTTGTCACTAGAGAGATGTTTGCTCTGCTGAAGGGGGAGATGTCTCGACACTTCCGTAAAATCCCAGACTCAAACATACCCCGGGCAAACTAGCTATTTGGTACGTAACAAATTTGAAAGCTGTCAAGCAAATACACCTGCCATGAAACCTGAAACCTCCAGCACAGAGAGTTAGCACTGGCAGAGTGAAGCTTTTGATAGCAACATGGCGGAGTATGCAGTTTTAATCGGAGCATGGAGCTTCCTTCCACCATCTACTACGTAGTAACAATGTGAACACGCTGTAACATAACAGATATTACATGTTCCACAACCACTAACAGCAGCCACTGCAGTAACAACCTGATAAGCCATCTAACAACATAAAAGAAGATGCTACTTCCATTCTGATGTGTCTGCTAGTCGCCGATTTTGGCGCACAACAGACTCATCTGAGTCTCCGTCTGACTGAGGCTCAAACATGTAGGCTGTAGCTGGAGCTCCACATTACCCACAATGCAACAACACCTTGGTCAGAGATTCAGGTGTATTTCGCTAGAAGCAGCTTATGTAGCCTCAAGCCACTAACCTCAGGCTGAGGTGAGGAGCAGGCTACAGGTCTGGTAAGCTCTTTTCTTTCTAACTCCATACACCAAGTGACATCACCTGAGGCAATTCATCAGATCTTGTCAAGTGACATCACTTAAGGCAATGGATCAGCACAGCTTCCTCTGGAGATATGAAAGGCTTTATACATTTCACATATGCAGCTCCGACAGTCCAACAGCCTGTAAGCAGACTGATACAGAATCAGCGACTCCCCCTTTATTGTACATTATTAAAAGTGAATAACACATTGAAGTTGAACTTAGAGTTAAAGGAGAATAACAGTTCACCCCTCATTTTTGAGCTCTCTACGTGGTTTTGAGGTATATTTCCTAATAGTGTGACTGCAGACAAATGATTGTGTTCTCTGTTAATACCACAGTTCAAGGTTATTATTCTAGCTGAAGGTATGAGTAATGTGAGTAATGTGGTACAATGTAGACTGTACTGTGGGTGTGTCCTTTTAAGTCAGAGGAACCGTGAGAACAATTACATAATTCTTTACCAAACAACACACGGCTTGAAAGTAAAGAGTTGGGTTTGTGGCTTTGTGAGTTATACAGGTCATTAAACACAGTAACAGAAGAATGAAATGATTCAACTCAACCTCACACATTATCATATCTCAGAAACAACTGAGGCAGTATTTAAGTCAATCAGGACTGACATACAGGAAGATAAAAACAACTCTGTGGGAGTGATATGAGTAATGTCATTTTCAAAGTTTGGATCAGTATCTAAAATAAAGCCAATATTTCTGACTTGCAGCCCTCCATTTGCTTTGAAGAATATAT